TCTGCCACTGGAAGAAGCCGGGGCGGTGGTCGGCTCGAGGCTCCCCCCCCACGCCGCTCCTTATGTAATGGGCTTATCAGCGAATTAAAAGCTGCAGCCCCAGCAGCTACAAATAAGGTTCACATTTACCTGTTTATTAAAATTGCTGTCAGTGTTCATTAAAATAAGCCCTCCCCTGAAAATAAGCCCTCTGGTGTTTTCCTGTCCCCCAAAAATAATAAGACAGTGTCTTATTATCAGGGAAACACGGTAGAACATGGTTTCCAGACTTTTTTCCCATGCTGATTGCTCTCCTCCAATATGCTTCTTAAATTCTAGTGCTCAAATGTAGATTCATTAATCCAAATACTTTTCTGTTTAGTGTCTTCAATATGCAACCCCAGTGCCCCAAAGTTAGGTGTTGTTGTTTAGTCGTTAAGTCGTGTCTGACTCTTCGTGACACCATGGACCAGAGCACGCCAGGCCCTCCTATCTTCCACTGCCGCCCGGAGTTGGGTCAAATTCATGTTGGTTGCTTTGCAGACACTGTCCATCCATCTCATCCTCTGTCGTCCCCTTCTCCTCTGGCCATCGCACTTTCCTAACATCAAGGTCTTTTCCAGGGAGTCTTCTTTTCTGATGAGACGGCCAAAGTCCTGGAGCCTCAGCTTCAGGATCTGTCCTTCCAGTGAGCACTCAGGGTTGATTTCCTTCAGAATTGATAGGTTTGTTCTCCTTGCAGTCCAGGGAACTCTCAAGAGCCTCCTCCAGCACCACAATTCAAAAGCATCAATTCCAAAGTGAGGTACACTAGGCAAAAAAACAGACCAGGTATGACCATACAGTGGCAAACAAGTCATCATAAGCTTTTGGAGGCTTTAGATTAGAATATACTGATGTAGACATAGGTCTAGCTGTGCACAAAGAATGGCTTTGGAAATGAATACAGTACCTGTTCAGAATCTGCCTAAAATGGCTCACGAGGAACCATAATTTGATGGAATGGAAGAAGAGGCAGACATGAATTGGTGAGCTGCTGCCATCCAGTTGGCAGTGGCTCAAATGGGCAAAATGTTTTGCCCTTTGGGCAAAGACATTGGAGGAAAAAGGAGATTAAGGTTGAATTTGTGAAAAGAAAGTGAAAAAGAGAAAAGAAACATCGAAAGCGAAAGGGGGAAAAACCAGAAAAAGAGCATGACAACCCAAAAACAATGGACTGCAAACCTGAGTCTAAGATGATTCCAAGGTAGTTACATTACCTTCCCTCTGTGGAAATGAACCAATATCCACCGTGGTCACCCTCAAACTTCCTTCCTCCAGGTCCCTTTCTTCTTTCCCATGACTTGTAGATTAGAAGCCTGAGGGAAAGGATTTTTGTCTGAGCACAGTACAAATAAAGTATATATAAACAGATAGAGAGACAGACAGAAAAGCACAGAGACATATCTATATGATTTCATAGAACCCACGTGAGCATCTTTTTATCTCTTTGTAAGCTAGGAGACAAATCTAGACCGCTCAAACACATGAATGCTTGCTTCTTCATGCAGATTTCTAGGTAAGGGCCAAGTCATGGCTTTTAATACTTTATTCTTGCAACACTCTTGTCCTTGGGATTTTTCCTTAGTGCAATTTGGGAACAGATGCAGTAACAATTGCCTTCATACTTTAAACCTGGAAGCTATGTTAAAGGTATCCAAAAGTTGTAATTGACTTGAGGGCACACAATAATTATTAGTAGATCTTTATCTTATTGTACCTGTTGTTTTTAGTTGTTTGTTGCTTTATCAATAAAGGAAGTAAAACTTCAACAATGAAAAATATTCATAATTTCTTTCTTTCTTTCTTTCTTCCTTCCTTCCTTCCTTCCTTCTTTCCTTCCTTGTTTCCTTCCTTCCTTTCTTTCCTTCTTTCTTTCCTTACTTCCTTCCTTCCATCTTTCTTTCTTTCTTTCCTTCCTTCCTTCTTTCTTTCTTTCTCTCTTTCTTTCTTTCATTCATTGAATGAAACCCTCAATACAATTGTTGACTTCCCACAGGTACAACTATAAATGCACGGAGGTGCAGTTCAAATCAATTAATTTCAGAATTCAAAGCAATTGATTTTCTTAGACATTCCTAATTACAACCTGAGATAATATGTGGAGAAATGCTGTTTTTAAGCATCACATATGTGTCAGTTTGATTGATGGACAGGGTAGTCCTCTTATACAGGAAAAACTGACGGCTACGTACTTTTAGCACCTATTAAAAACAGATGTTTCTTTTGGATTTCTTGCTTGACAAATGCTGACTCTTACATTTTTATTATTTCTATGCTGAATTTCTTTATTGTGATGCTTTTTATGGTCTATATCCAGTTGTCTCAACTAGAGTGGAGCAGACACAATGAATCAAGGGGAAATTGGCAAATCAGCATTCAAGTTAAGTTTTATTGATTCAGTAGGTCTAGACTGGATAGCTCAGTGGTCCCCAACCTTGGGCCTCCAGATGTTCTTGGACTACAACTCCCAGAAGCTTTCATCACCAACTCTGTTGGCCAGGATTTCCAAGAACATCTGGAGGCCCAAGTTTGGGGACCACTGGTTTAGATCACCAGTTCTTAACCATGGGTTACTCAGGAGTTTTGGACTGCAACTCCCAGAAGCCTTCACCACCAACTGTGCTGGCTGGGGTTTCTGGGAGTTGCAGTTCAAAAACATCCGAGTAACAAAGGTTAAGAACACTGGTTTAGATGTCTGGCTGCCGAGCCAGAAATTCCCCACTGTACCCTTCTGTGAGTAGAGCCAGCCTGTGTGGTCTTGGGCAAGCTGCACAGCCCTAGGGCACCCCCAGAAGAAGGGAATGGTGAACCACTTCTGAAGATTGTCTACTTGGAAAACCCTGGAAAGGATCACTATAAGTTAAAATTGACTTGATGGCTCATGACCATTATTATAAATAGTTGGCAACTATCAGTCGGATCTAGAACTTTGTTTTTATGTGTTTGGAACCATTCTGTGTAAACCATTTGAGAACTCAGTAAGCAATCTATAAGTCTCACCAATTTTACGTGTTTGAGTCAGACGTAATCCAGTGGTGCTTCTGGAGTGGAAGAATCAGCCAACAGGACGCTGTCATTGGGGACTCCCAAAAGTGTTCCGATTCCTCATATTCTTCAGAGATGCTCCTTCCATGTAGCCCAATATTTTCTTTAATAACAATAACAACAATGCAACAACAGCAATAATAAAGCATTGCTTTTTGAGTCATTTGTTTTGTGTTTTAACTATTGTGTAATTCTGAGTATTATGATGGGGTGGGACTTGGTCTCTGTCAGCCCTTGTAGTTTTCACTAGAAAAATAGGAATATATATTTTAATAAATAAATAATTGTACCAGCCCACCTTGAACGCCACTGCTCTTGCTTGATTACAAACAAAAACAAACAAACAAACTTAGAACTACAGAATTTGTTTTGTGTTTTAACTATTGTGTAATTCTGAGTATTATGATGGGGTGGGACTTGGTCTCTGTCAGCCCTTGTAGTTTTCACTAGAAAAATAGGAATATATATTTTAATAAATAAATAATTGTACCAGCCCACCTTGAACGCCACTGCTCTTGCTTGATTACAAACAAAAACAAACAAACAAACTTAGAACTACAGAACAGAAGACTGCTCTTGCTTGATTACAAACAAACAAACAAACAAACAAACTTAGAACTACAGAGCTGGAAGGGACCATATGGATCGTTGAGTTCAGCCCCTCTCTGGCTCTGCAGCCAGAGATGTAAAACACTTAGCTACCCAGCAGTTTGCCAAAACATAGCTGGTTAGTGCTTGGGAGGAGACCATCAGAGAATACTAAAGATCTCTAGATGGAGTTAAGAAAAAATCCTCCCCAAAACCCAGGACAGTTCTTGCCAGTCAGAGTTGGCAGCGCTAGATCAAATGCATCTGACTCAATATAAGACAGTTTCCCATGCGCTTATCTTCTCTGCCTAACAGGGAAATTGAGCACACCAAGCTAAATTAAGGCCTTGGTTTGAGACCTTGGAGAGAAGATGGCACAGGACTGGATGGGCCAGTACTCTGCATATGGCAGCTGCACTTACTGTGTGTGTGTTTTCGTACGTTCTGTGCCAGCAAATCAGAACTGACTTATAGCAACCCTAATGGGACTTTCAAGGCATGTAGTATATTTAAGGAGTGGCTTTATCTGTTCCACTCCCCCAGAGAGTTTCCATGGCCCAGTGGGGATTTGAACCCTGTTCTCCAGAGTCCTAGTCTGTCACTGCATCCACTATATCACACAGGGAATCGTGTGTTCGTATGTTCTGTGCCATCAAATCAGAACTGACTTATAGCAACCCTAATGGGACTTTCAAGGCATGTAGTATATTTAAGGAGTGGCTTTATCTGTTCCACTCCCCCAGAGAGTTTCCATGGCCCAGTGGGGATTTGAACCCTGTTCTCCAGAGTCCTAGTCTGTCACTGCATCCACTATATCACACAGGGAATCTGTATTTACTAACTGGGTTTAATGGTTCTCTTCAGTGTTGCACTGCTGAAACAACCAATCAAGGCAATCTTAGCTAGCTATTGTCAATCAATTCTGGAATTAACCCTTGAGAAAAGCCCAAGTTTAACTCAAAAAGAGGATACTTACCTGGATAAATACTATCAAGATGCTCTTTGCACTCTAAAGAAAGAGAGGCAATTGCACAAGCCTTTTGGAATTCTGTTTCTTTGCACATCACAAACTTGGTGTTTTCCTTGTTGTATCCGAGCTCCCTTTTGATCTGTTTACCACCTTCCATCTCGTACGTAGCGCACAGGTCATGTCAGTTTCTTAAAGGGGCTTGTAATGTTGTTTTCAACCCACTGGCTCCATAGTTCCTGAGGGGAATTATAGTTCAATCCGATTTATAAGGAGTAATCCTTAAAGACACAATCCCTCTATATGACCAATTCAGACAGTGGGAGAAGGACTGGCTGTGCAGAATTGTTCGGACGTGCCAAAGAAGAAGCCGGATTGCTACAGCCTGACAAGAGTGCAGAACCTTGACATTATCCAAGATTTAAATAGCTGCAATTGAGCTGGAATCACAGGGCTGGATGACGCCTAAAAATTTGGAAAGCCTTATCTTTGGCCTCTGTAGCATTCTGCACTGCACATGATCAATTTACAACCCCCCTACTTTGCTCTGGCCTTTCTATAGGTCACAGATGGGGGATATGTGGTTATCAAACTATTACTGTTCTACAGCTCCCATCCGTCCTCACTGGGATGGCTGAGTGTTTCAGTCCAGCCATATCTGCGGGATCAAAAACTTCCCATCTGTTATACAAACTTTTTCTCTGCAATCCTCACCTGCCTTGAAGCATACTTTGAGCAGGCAGAAGGCACGAGACAGTTTTCCTATCAGAGAGCCAATATCTTTCTCTCTTTTTTTTGGGGGGGGGAGAATAATACACTACAAAAGAAGTCAAGCTGAACATTAAAGCCAGGATTGGGAGCTTCCAGATCACTATAGGACTTCAAATCTCAGCACTCCTTCCCAACATTGCTGATGATGAGAGTTGAAGTCCAACATCTGGTGGGCCAGAGGTTTCTCGTCACTACAGCAGAGAACAGCAATACAAGTACTCTCCACAGGCCTAAGGTTGGTAACAATTAATCTTCATCAGAAGTCCTGCACCACCTGCCCTTGCACTTACAGCCACTAGCCATTACTGTTGTGGTGTTATTTTTTAATTAATTTGTTCAGTCGTTTAGTCGTGTCCGACTCTTCATGACCCCATGGACCAGAGCACGCCAGGCCTTAAAGCCAGGATTGGGAGCTTCCAGATCACTATAGGACTTCAAATCTCAGCACTCCTTCCCAACATTGCTGATGATGAGAGTTGAAGTCCAACATCTGGTGGGCCAGAGGTTTCTCGTCACTACAGCAGAGAACAGCAATACAAGTACTCTCCACAGGCCTAAGGTTGGTAACAATTAATCTTCATCAGAAGTCCTGCACCACCTGCCCTTGCACTTACAGCCACTAACCATTACTGTTATGGTGTTATTTTTTAATTATTATTACTTATTTCTTGCAGTCTGGCATAGCACTAGTACTGAATGACAGAAAGGAGGGGAAAGGAGGGAGACATGGATTCAGGGCTGAAACTGACCAGAGACATTGACTAGACTTCCAAAGAAGGTATGCATCGATGTGCGTGTATCCACATGTGTGTGCGCGCACACACAGACCCAGGGTAGAGAAGGAGAGGGAGAAGGAACTGCCAGCCAGGGCTGAAACTGACCAGAGACATTTTGGTTATATCCAAACTTCTCGCCTTGCCTAAGGGGAGACACACAAGCACACCAGTGAGTGGCAAATCCCACAAACACAATTCTTAGATCCACACTTCTCGCCTTGCCAAGGGGGAGACACACAAGGTGGCAAATCCCACAAACACAATTTACACTGATAGAGGTGTTTATATATGCTGAAACAATTAAAAATAAATACTTTTCACAAGCGATTTAAAATAAATGACTCTCTCGCAGTTGAATAAAATATCTCGCTTTCCAACCAAAAAGCGTGTTTCCCAGGCAAAAACATACGCACTTCCATGTGTGTTGTGTAGTCAGCTTTTAAAACATTGATTTCAAACATGCTAAACTCGATTCAAATATATGTGTTTTTTCCATGTGTCAAATGCTCTCATAGGGATGGGAAAGATATGTTAATAAGTAGGCCAAATTAATAACTAGATGCAACATCTAGAACGTTTGGCCTTATACTGATAAAGTAGTTAAGTAGAAGTGGGCATAGTGCACTTTTATAAGTATGGTAAGAAAAAAACAGACAATGAGAAAGATTTTTCTTCTTTCTTCACAGTAGAAGAAACCAGGATCACATAATGGAATTTAGCTTTCGGTGCAGGGCCAGCAGAAGAAGGAATGATTCTCCAACATGTAAACTACCTCATGAAATCTGCTTCCAGAAGTTATGGTGATGGCTGTTGGCTCAGATTAGCCTTCTCTAAACTAGATTTTTCTAGGTTTTGTTAGCCCATGACATCTGGAGAGACCCAAATGTTAAATGGGGGGGGGGCAGTAGGCCACAAACATATTATCTCTGGATCTTTTTTGGCCTACAGATCTCAGCAGTGCAAAGGTCTCAGGCCTCTCCAGTCCCCTTGATTCTGTGAACCTCTCTCATTGGCTCCCAAGTCACAAACTTCTTGATTTTTTTTTAAAAAAATTGGTGTCTAAAATAGGCTTAGGGTGAGGTAGATGTAGTCTGTAGAGACTGGTTTCCAACCTTGGGTTTCCAGATGTTTTTGGACTAAACCAGAAGCCTTCATCACTAGCTGTGCTGGCCAGGATTTCTGGGAGTTGTAGTTTAACTTGGGGACTCAAGGTTGGGAACTGCTGCTGTAGAGCCTTTTAGGGAGTCACAGATTTTGATTCAGAAGAAATTTGGTTGTGTGTGTGTGTTTCAGGTGGACTTTGGGTGAATCAAAGAGTAAGGAGGACCTTCAATATGTGGGAAAAGGGGGAGGAAGCCTCCTGCATCCTTGGAAGTTTCCATCCATGGACTTCAACCCTTGATGTGATGATTCAGGCTCTTAGATTAGTCAATATCCTGTCTCTGTTCTCTAACTGAGACAATATGTAAGGACCAAGTGTGCCTTATAAAAAGTGCTGAACCATCTGCTTCATGTGTGAAGGTCAGTCAAATATGAAGGTCAAGGGAATCTTCAGGAAAAACAAGGGGAGCAATTCTGCAATAAAGGATTCTAACAGGAAGAAAAGAGTTTTCCTTCACAGATAAAAGAAAAATCCATGAGGGAGAGGCTTCTCCTTCAAAGATGCATTTAAAACAGGGGTCTCAAAGTTGCGGCCCGGGGGCCATTTGCAGCCCCCCCAGATGATAGTTTGTGGCCCTCGCCTTGCCTGCCCCCCCCAAAGCGCCCACACATCCTCTGCTGTCAAGAGTAAAAAATAGCCTTGCCTGGCTCGGCGGCTCCCTCCCAAGACAGCACCTCTTGCCCCCTCCATCCAGAACTGCAGCCTGCCAGCCGGCCCACCTCTCTGCCGGCTAAGGAAACTCCTGGGCGGCTTCCTCGGGCTCTTGCTCCACTTGGCAGAAAATCTGATGCGGCCCAGCCTCACCCAGACTCTGTCTCTGGTGACCCACAGGTAAATTGAGTTTAAAACCCTTGATTTAAAGGGTTTGGGGAGTTGGGATTACAGAAGAGAACTATAGGGTGGTTGTCCCTTTTAGCAACTACACACATGTGTGAAGGACGCAGTGTCTCCCAGATATAAATGAAGTTGTTTGTTTCTGCAACACAGTTTTTGACTAGTTCGGCACCAGTGTTTAGCAACATATTTTGACCATGGGCCAAAGTAAGGAAACAGTGAGTACTACAACAAATGGCCTGGGGCAAGGGTTGCATGCAAGGATCCCTCTTAAGATTCATGGCTGTGTGAGTGTGTGCAACTCCACACACACCCCTCCAGGCATCCACAGCAAGCATTTCCAGCCCTTTTGGTTCTCTTTGCAATGGAACCCCATGTGGTTGGGGCAGAGTTGCCCATGAGAAGGGGCGGAGTCCTGCCCAGCAGGGCAGACAATCAGAGTGAACATTGGTTGCCTGTGACCTGCTTTAAAGCCCTAAAATACTTGTTATATAATATAATCTTAGAACTGCCAAGCTGGAAGGGATGCTATGGATTATCAAGTCCAGCCCCTGTCAAGGAGGAACAGTGGGAAATCGAACTCCCAACCAGAGACTGAAATCACTGAACTATCCAGTTATGAGTGGGGAAAATCAGAGTTTTCTTTCACAGAAATCTAGCGCAGTCCTCAAGTCTAAATGAGAGGAAAGATCTCTTCGAAATCCCACGCCCCTTCCTCTCTGTGTGATGACAGGAGAAATAATGATATACGTTGCCTTGGGTCCTTTCTTAGGAGAAAGGCAGAGTATAAATAAATAAAGGGTTTGGGGAGTTGGGATTACAGAAGAGAACTATAGGGTGGTTGTCCCTTTTAGCAACTACACACATGTGTGAAGGACGCAGTGTCTCCCAGATATAAATGAAGTTGTTTGTTTCTGCAACACAGTTTTTGACTAGTTCGGCACCAGTGTTTAGCAACATATTTTGACCATGGGCCAAAGTAAGGAAACAGTGAGTACTACAACAAATGGCCTGGGACAAAGGACGCATGCAAGGATCCCTCTTAAGATTCATGGCTGTGTGAGTGTGTGCAACTCCACACACACCCCTCCAGGCATCCACAGCAAGCATTTCCAGCCCTTTTGGTTCTCTTTGCAATGGAACCCCATGTGGTTGGGGCAGAGTTGCCCATGAGAAGGGGCGGAGTCCTGCCCAGCAGGGCAGACAATCAGAGTGAACATTGGTTGCCTGTGACCTGCTTTAAAGCCCTAAAATACTTGTTATATAATATAATCTTAGAACTGCCAAGCTGGAAGGGATGCTATGGATTATCAAGTCCAGCCCCTGTCAAGGAGGAACAGTGGGAAATCGAACTCCCAACCAGAGACTGAAATCACTGAACTATCCAGTTATGAGTGGGGAAAATCAGAGTTTTCTTTCACAGAAATCTAGCGCAGTCCTCAAGTCTAAATGAGAGGAAAGATCTCTTCGAAATCCCACGCCCCTTCCTCTCTGTGTGATGACAGGAGAAATAATGATATACGTTGCCTTGGGTCCTTTCTTAGGAGAAAGGCAGAGTATAAATAAATAAATAAATAAGTAAATAAGTAAGTAAGTTGGTTATATACAGTATTCGAAGTGTAGGAAACCTGGCGCTCCATGTTATATTGCTTTTGCTCTGATCTCTTCTCAGTTCAAAGAAGCTCTCAGAACAACTGCAATTGCTCCTTACCCTTTCCGTGTAAACTTTCTGTGATTAGCATTTTATCAGTGTTTGGTGTCATCAAGGACAGGCCAGAGTGTTTTTCAGATTTCTATCCTCAATGCTTAAAAATATAATAAAAGGCTCTAGAAGGAAGACAAAAACACACTCCGGAGATAGAGAAATCGTGGATCGATGGTTTAAAACAGCTTAAAGTTTTTATACCAGATGGTTAATGTGAATGAGAAATTCTTTTACTCCTTTTTATTTTGAAACACATTAGATGCAGAATGGAAAAGTTACAGTGGTGCCTCGCATAGCGATCGTTCCGTATAGCAATGAAATCATTTTGCGATGGTCCCTATGGGGAAATTTTGCTTTGCGATGATCGCAGGGAAGCGATCATCGCAAAGCCTTCATTTTCGGCCAGCTGATCAGAGGTTTCAAAATGGCTGCCGGGTTAACAAAATGGTCGCCCACTGTGTTTCCTCGCTTAAGACGCACCGAAAGTGGCCACACCTATGGAGGATCTTCGCTTAAAGGCGAGTTTTTAGCTCATAGGAACGCATTAATCGCGTTTTAATGCATTTCTATGGGCTTTTTATTTTCGCTTAGCGATGTTATAGCTTAGCAGTTATTTTTTCTGCACGGATTAACATCACTAAGCGAGGCACCACTGTACTTTTTCAGATTGTAGTTCCCAGATTCCTCCAGCCAGCATGGTGGCTAAGGGGTCCTGGGAGCTGTACTACAAAAGACTGGATTTTCCAAATGCTTTATAAAATATTCAAAAGTCACTATTCCAAGTTGTCAAGCACTGCTAGGGGAGAACATTGGGGTGCCTTGTGAGGTAAAGCCCAAGGAGAAGATATGGCCTCTTTCCTTGCCTTTTCTCTCCAACCTCATTTAGGAGGCTGGAGTGACTTTCTTCTTCCTTTGTTTGTTAAAATAGTAAGTAGTGTTTCAACATGGCAATGCATCCACTTGGCATGGTTTTAGAATTTCACTGTGTCAGTGAGGAATACGTTGAAAATAAAATATTAAAATAGAGGAGGTGGGTTTTTCCACCCAATTCCACACCTAGTACATCACAAGGTTATCTCCTCAGTTAATGCCACTCCCAGTGTCATTTTGGTGGAAGTACCCAGAACTATTTGGCATCTCAGTGAATCATACCAAAAAGATTGCATGCCCTAGCCCTGTGCCAGTTTGGTGTGGAACAGCTCTTAAAGGGAAGGATGGAGCGTTCTGAGTAGAAACACAAGTGGACACAATACTTTCTTTTGTGCCAAAGATTGCCAGTAAGGTTCCATACATCATAACTATATGCTAGTGTGGGTAAGCTCTTTGTTTGTGATTGTACTAATGCTGTGGTTCCCAACTTTCAGTAACTCAGGTGTTCTTGGACTGCAGTTCGCAAGAAGTATCCAGCACCAGCTGTGCTGCCCAGGGTTTCTGGGAGTTGCAATCAAAGAATATCTGGGTTATCCAAGGTTGGGAACCACTGGTCACACAAACACAGACTTCATTTGCAAGTGTGATTGCTCAGTCACAGTGGTCTGCTTGAATCATATATAACAGTAAGATATTTCAGTTTTAAATGATAGGGTACCTGCAACTTATAATTTGGCTCTAGAATGGGACTGAATAATATGTGGAAAGGGTATACGTATTTTGTAACCAATGGAAGAGCAAAGCTGCATGGTGGTAATGAGAATAATTTGTATTCATATGGTGTGCCTTTACAACACACTTATGCCTTTCCCTGTATGTGAACACATGCAATTTGTTTGTTAGCACCATATTGAGTTATATATAGAAGTTTCCTGGGAGAAAATCTTTAAATCATCGAATCTGACACAATCAATGGAGAACACAAGATATATTTTACATGCTAATAAAACATTGTGGGAAAGGAACTTTTTTAAAAAGCACCTAATAAGACCTAATGTATTTTCTGGCACCTTCATGCTTGTCATAGCACTGATCATATGTCACAAAAAGGGGCCTTCCGTTCTCAAATGATTGTATTTGCCTTGGAAACACTGATTGCTGGGTGCTCATTAGAGAACCATTTTGGCATCAGCAAAAAGTATCTGGACAGGAGATGTGAAATGGCTATGCTTGATTATTGTTGTTTTAGGATTACAGGAGGCTAGATTGTTCGTTTTAATTTGTCATCAACCACTTTTTACCTTGACTGTCATAAAATATTTTTTTTATTATTTGGATTTTGGGCTGCAGATTCTTCTGTTGCTGCCTATTTTGTGTGTAAAAAAGTCTGTCATTTCTGGTAGACCTGGCAGCTGGCCACCAGATCTACTAACATAGGTAGGCATCATTTTTAGCCCCTCTATACCAGATTTGCTTTTCTCTTCTTTCTTAAGAGGCAAAACTAGTATCTAAAAGAATGGCTCCAAAATGAACAGGAAATTCTCTGGAAAGAGTTATGTTGATCATTGCTACAACAAAATTTATTGGCCAGTATCCTGTTCGTTGCATACGCTGGTGTAAGTGCAATGATGTAAATTGCAATGGTGAATTGCATAATTAAGGAGTCAACATCTGGATTCCTCATCACACACGGAATCACATGACTGGCACACATACATGCATTGACTCCTTAACTAGTGACAAGTCACCGCTGCAGGTTACGCTGTTCCACTTATGCTGGCATCTATAAGTAACAGGATTCTGGCCAATAGTTAAAACAACAAGTAGTATGAGAGTAGGCTAATTGCTCTCAGGAAAAATGGGCAGCGTAAGGGCTGCATGTTTTGTCTCATATCTCAGCTACTCTAAAGGAGATCTACTGCAGTGAGTAAAGTGCAGACAGAATTGGGGCCAAGACTCTTACTACAAAAGTCTTGCTGAAACTGAAAGTGTGATCACTCAGCAAAATAAACTGCACTTGTGGAGCAGTCCGGTGTGATCTGTTCCCTGGTGATCATGTATCTTACAGGGAATTGTGCTCCACCTTGACTTCAATCGATGTATGGCTAGTATTTGGCAGGGGTGGGGTGGGAGAGAGACTGGAGCGATCCCTAGCAGAAAGAACCATTCCTTTCAAAGTGACACTTTTCAGTGTGATCAAATACCCTAAGATCATATTTTTGCTAACCTCTATATCCCGTTATATTACTGGATAGCTCCGTGGTTTAGGTAACTGGCTGCAGAACCGGAAATTAAGAATTTGATTTTTCCACGGTGATTCCTTGGTGGTCTATAGGGTGCCTTCAAGCTCTATAATTCTAAGATAATGATGACAAGGATGATTATGATTCTATTTCTGGGGTGGCCAAATCTAGTAAAATGTCAAAAGCAGCACTTTTGGATTAAAAGAAGGTACACTTAGGATGCTTGCTGGCTCAGGGAGGCCACTCTTCAGAACAATGCAAAGAGTCAGGCTGCTAACAAGAGTGACGTTCTTAGAAATCATTGTAAGTCTTTTGCTGATTGTCTGGATGTGCGTATGTCTTCTTCCTCAGACACCTATGGCTGCATCTACCTTTGGATGTGCTGCAGGTGACAGGTATTGGAGGATGGCAGCATGCCCCAGGCAATCCACTAATCCCTCCAGCCATTTCCCTTTCTTTAAGGCCAGAATTTCCTATGCCAAACAGCCTATCCTGACTTTTCCCACTTAACTAGCCCGTTGCCCCCAGAAATGGCAGAGAACCCTTTCCTATTAAAATAAGTTTCAATTGCCAATCCCATTGGCTTCAGTACACTGAAGGGGGCAGGATGCTACATTGTCCTTTGATTCAGGCAGCAAAAACGCCTTGGGTCAGCTGTAATTTGTGTCTGAGGTCTGGAATCCACCTGAGAAAAGACACCGATTTTCACTCCTGCATGTCCATCCTTCAGTTTTTTTAAAAAAATGGTAGCGCTGGAAGGGAACCTGTGTGTCTTGAAGTCCAATTTAAGGAGAAACAGAGAGTATGGAAGTGAAGATTGACGTGAAAGTGAAGCGAGGAGATGGAGAAGAGAAGTATTAGAACAGTGAACTTCCAAATGTTTCCTCCAGGCCGAATTAAAAGCTTCCTCCATTCATCTGAAACATGGGAACTGCTATGTGTGAACTGCATATAAATGCTGTCCCCTGGCAACTTATCCTTTTGCTATTCAGTCCTGCTCTCCCCCCCCCATGATGACAATAGATATTTCCAAAGGCAAGTAAACAAGCCAGCCCCCCCCATCCCAGCCAAAGGACAGTTGCTGTGGCTACAAAACCGGCTTTTCTATCTATTGCGCACATAACTGACCTCAAAGTTCCAGCGGCTGCAGCCATCCAGGGGTGTGTGTGTGTTTGTGTGTGTGTTCTCAGTCTTTTGCTTGTATGGAGGGAAATATTGGAGGTGGGGGGGTGAGGTTTGCATCAGGGACAGAATTGGGCCAAAGGTTGGCCCAGCCAGGTTGTTTCGTAAACTGGCTTAAAAATACTGGGATGGCGAGAAAGCTGACGAGCCTCTGTTTCAAGCACTCATTAATTGAGCTGGTTAAACAATAAACTCTTTGGGATCGCTGCTCTTAGTTGTTTTCTGGAGACATCATCCAACCTTGGCAACGGGCCAGGAGATGCTTCCCCCCCCCTTGGGGTGACGTAAGAGACCAGCCTCTTTTGCTCTGACTGATGGAACGGGGCTGAAACTGAGGAAGTATATAAGGAGGAAGGCTGGGCTCTGGAAATCCAGAGGACATCAGGAGAGACTGGAGTGTCAACTTAGTGCCAGGAAGGACCAGCTCAGTCATCTCCAAACCTGGACACAGAGACTGCTTCAGAACTGTAAGCATTTAACCTCCATGTATTTTCAAAAAAATTTGATACATATGCAGTCAATTCATGTGGTGACTTGTGTCAATATGCCATCTAATCAATCAATTAATTACGTGCTGTCATAATCAATTAATGTCATCATTTAAAAATAATATTGTAATAATTAATCAATTAATCACATGCTGTCATGTCAATTCTGACCTTTCCCAGGGTTTTCTTTGTACTGCATACTCAGAAGTGGTTAACCTTTCGTTCTTCTTGGGGTGCTCTGTAGCCAGTTCGTTTGCTGGAGACCACATAGGCTGGCTTTTCTCCTACAGTGGAGATTAGAACTCCCAGTGCAGCATTTCACTAAGCCAGGCATGCTTCATTTTATATGTGCTCTTCTCAAACCCATGCTAACTGGGGAATTTTAAGAACTGCAGTCAACAAAGAAACTTTTCCAATCTCTGGGACAGATTCCTGTCTGAAACCCTGCAGAGCTGCTACCAGCCAGTGTAAACAATACTGGCTAATATTAATTGCCCGAGTCTGTTCATTTTGTTGCATCTAGAACCTACTTTGTTGCTCAGAGGCAAGAGACCAATGAATTCCTGTCACCAGGCTTACACTCTAAAACAGGGGTTCTCAACCTTGGGTCCCCAGATGTTCTTAGACTACAGCTCCCAGAAACCCTGGCCAGCACAGCTAGCGATGAAGGCTTCTGGGAGTTTTATTTTAGTAACATCTGAGGACCCAGGATTGGAACCTATTGCTCTAAAGGGAACGTGACACAAAAGGAAAAGGAGAATAAGCATGGGAGGCCAATTAGGAGATACAGCAGAGCTGAAATCATTTTAGAGAAGTGGTAAAGGCTGACTTCTGTGGGACCATTCAAACCCACTGATTTATTTCAGTGTTAGCTTCTGTAGATAACAACCCACTTTCTCCAGACTTGCAGAGCACAATATTTGGGCCACAGGTTTATACATAGCATACATGGCATGGGGACAGGGATGGGGGACCAGTGGCCTGACAGTGGCAGGTTAATGTTTGATAATACGCTTCCCAGGTGGCAATGCCTTATAAGCACAGGTAGCAAACATTCATGGACTTGCTAAAATTAACATGCTGGCAATGGAACGCTGCAAAAGATGTGAATTTTCAGACTAATTTTTAGCAAAGATCAGGTCACACTGAGGTCAGGATTTTGCCCAAACCCCACTATTTACTTCCACAGCAAACAGTAAGCAACCAAGCATGTTGCGTATAATCACACAGTTTGTGTGCATAACCCCAACCTCAACACGATCTACTCTTTCTGAAACCTCAAATCCAGATAATCCAGGTCATTTTCATCAATTAGCACTTAAGCAATTTTAATGACTGGATACCTGTAATGTATAGCTCAGCTCTCAATCAGCTTCCTACATTTCTATCAATGAAAATATTATCAACCATGCACCATCCAATCTTTTGCATTGCAGTTCACAATTCATAATCATTAGCCATATATCCAGACATTCACCCTTATTGTCTGCAAAGCATTGGCAATGCCTGCCCAGCTGCAAAGACAGACAAGCAGCATCCCCAAGGTCATCCAAGGGGACCTGAAGAATCTGGCACCAAGGGTGAGGGACTTCATTGAAAGCAATGCCCAGTTGTGCCAACCGGAGTTCATCCACATCTGCGATGGCTCAGAGGCTGAAAACAAGAAGCTCTTGGAGCTCATGGTAGAACAAGGCATGATTAAGAAGCTCAAGAAATATGAAAACTGGTAAGTGAGATGTGCTCTCAATCTTTTGCTTGTATGGAAAGAAAGGCTTGTGCACCAGGTACAGGCTACTAAAGATGTTGAATGGATTCTGAAGTATGGTGAACAGATAACACCTGGTATGAAATAGTGGCAGCTCATACATTAGGGCTACAGAGGTCCTGGCACACCTCAGGTTCAGATTGCCCCAGCCAGCCCACTCTTACCTGCCCTCCTTTGTCAAAGACAGAGGGTCAGAGCCTATTTCTATTCCAGCCCTACTGTGTAAATGTGGGAATTCTTGCTTGCTTGTGTGTGTGTGTGTGTGTGCCTATTTCTATTCCAGCCCTACTGCGTAAATGTGGGAATTCTTGCTTGCCTTCTTCTATGGGTAAATGTGTGCATTTGTGTGCATTTGTGTGTGTGTGTGTGTGCGTGCATGCGTGTGTGTGTGTGTGTGTGTGTGTGTGTGTGTGTGTTCATTTTTGACCCCTGGCTTTCTCTGTCATCCCTCATTTTCCCACCTTTACTCCTGCGACTTTCTACCCAAGTTAATGGGCTTCAGCTACTACTAGTATGAAATCCATGGAGCAACCCCTGCTTTGAGATGGGTTAATGCCATTGGGCTAATGTCCCTTCTTGCTCTTTTATTGTGAGAAAGGATTTGAAAGTTGCATTTCTCTTTCTCTTTCCCATGTTATTCCCCACCAGGGAAAAAAAAGGATAGAATCCGGTAGGGATGACAAGGGAAAAACAAACATTCTGAGTAGGGGTGAATGAGAATATCAGTTGCGTTTATAAGCGAATTGGCACCACTGGGCTCCAGCTTCTGTTTCTTCTAGGTCTTTAATTTTTGTCTTTAATTTTTAAAAAAGAGAACAACTGCTTCCCTTCCATGCCAATTTCAAAACAAAGTCAGGAGAGAGAAGCTGCTTACTTGCACACCTGGAGAGGGAACTTGCTAGAAGCTGTCTGGAGAGGCATGCCAGCTTGATCTCTCTCTGCTGAGCTGCTAAGGTGGGCAAAACAGACACCTTGACAGATGCTGGATGAGAAACAGTTTGACTGCCTGGTCTCGGTGGTGAAAGGGGAGTAGGGAGGATAAGGAAGAGGAAGAGACACTACTGCCATTGCTGCCGCCTCCTTCTTCCTTTCTTTCCCCTTCTTAGTTTGGAAATGTAGATTTTGCCTTGATCAGGGTGCAGCAACAATGACAGCTGCCCTATTCTTTCTTCTCCCACATTCCTCAGCTGGAAGCCAGCTGTGCACTCCTTGGAGAAAGAGAAGGCAGGCCAGAAGGGGTTAAAGTGATTTTTCCAGGTTCCTCTTTATGTTTTTAATATTTATTTATTTATTCATTTCAATTTTTTCCAAAGTGAAATAGCGCTAAATCAGTGTTACAGATAGAAAAAAATAGCAGTTCAGATTGAAAGGTTACCCTGCAGCCTGAAACCTGTGACCCTGGCTCCCAATCCAACAGGTGACAAACTCCACAGATACAATTCAGTCCAACACAGGTGAGCACAGATGCTTAAATGGTTCAAAATAAATTGCATTCACAATGGAATTAAAATGAACAAGCTCCTTGTGGTTGTTTAAAATAACTCACTTTCTGATGAAATACATATGCACTTAGCAGTATGTTGTGTAGGCAGAATTTTTTAAATCCATAACAAGCATGCTAAACCCAATGCAAAACCAGGAGTACTGTATTACAATGTGTAATTGAGCCCTGAAACTCAATTTGGACCTCAAGCTGAATCTTCCCAATCCATGCTCTTCTACACCTGGTAGTTCTGGAGTCCCTCTGGAAAGCAAAGTGCAAGCAGATTCTTTATATGTATTTTATTTAGTATAGTAAAGTTTTCGGTTCTGTTGTTTTTGAAATGTTATTCTTATCTGAAATATCGCAAGTTGCTTTAGGCACTATTAGTTGAAAGGCAGGATACAAATCAAAAGATACTGAGCTGCTGATATGCTAGTATTTAGACTACCAGTTAAAAGCAGCATTAGACCCAGCCCCCTCCCCCAATCTGGTCAGTTAATGGTCCTCATAGCCTAGTACTGTATAATGGGAAAGTAGAGGTGAATAGTCTAATTTGACAATAATATGTGGCTTAAAATCCTGATTCCTGAGAGTCTAACAGGAGTTGCCTTCCACTATTCAAACTCCGTACTGATGATGGTTTCATCAGCAAGACTTGTCCAAAAATCAATTCTTTGCTTACACTATAAATATTATCCCTTTTCACAACCAACTCTGTTAGCGTCTTGAGTGAGAAGACGTTGTGTTGGACTTCTGTCATTTTTATTGCCAGCATAGTTCAAGTACTGCTGTCTGTTTCCACAGCTGGTTGGCTCGCACGGATCCAAGAGACGTGGCAAGAATCGAAAGCAAAACTGTCATTGTCACTCAGGAGCAGCGGGATACCATTCCGATCCCCAAAAGTGGAGTCAGCCAGCTGGGACATTGGATGTCAGAAGAAGACTTTGAGAAAGCCTTCAGTGTCAGATTCCCAGGCTGCATGAGAGGTAGGGACAGGTGGAAGAGCGTTCCCTGCTAGAATGAAAGAGGCCCGTTCATGCAGGTGGGATGATCTAAGATGCATGTTCATTTTATTTGTCCCACAGATGGACTCTCGCCAAACAGGTTCCATAGGGGTTTGGAAGCAGAGCAAACATGTAGAAATCCTCTGAACAAAGGGGTAAAGATGCGCTCCCGAGTCAGTAATGTTTGTGTCCCATTGACTGCAACTCTCTGGAAAAACAAAATCACAACTACTTTTTTCCCTGTGTGTGGATAGGTTTCTGTTTTTTTTTCCAAAAACAATGGGTTCAGTCATTTAAAAATATTGACGCACAGGTTTTAGTACCAATCTAGGTTTCAAAAACAGATGCCATGGAGGAGGTATCTAGAAAATTAGAATATACCCCACTGTTAAATTCTTATTGATTTTCTTACCATCCAACCTCCCAGCTATGATCTCATATATATTTTGTATACTGTATATATATATATATAATAAAACCCTGATGCTGGAAAAGTGTGAAGGCAAGAGGAGAAGGGGGCGACAGAGGACGAGATGGTTGGACAGTGTCACTGAAGCTACCAACATGAATTTGACCCAACTCCAGGAGGCAGTAGAAGACAGGAGGGCCTGGCGTGCTCTGGTCCATGGGGTCATGAAGAGTTGGACATGACTTAACAACTAAACAACAGATAAATATTTGCCATGTTACAGTTTTCTCTTATGTCTGAGGAAGTGGGCTTGTCCGCGAAAGCTCACATTAAAACAAAGCAGTTTATCTTGAAGAGGACACCACTTTTTTGTCTTTTTTATTTGTTCTTTTATTTTATTTTTAAAATGTTGTTTTTACCTAGAAAATTAGGGTACAAATTCTTTGGCTTGTTTTTTCCCCTTAGCTACCCATATTAGGACACCTGTGGTTCACATGACCGAAACCCCAACTTCTTCCTATCTTTAAATTCTTTTAAGGACACCTTTTAGTGCAAGTTTTTACATGGAAGCTTCTGTTGTGTAGATATGAACTTCCTAGAACTGGTTTGCAATTACAGTGGTGCCTCGCAGACGGGCGCCCCGTTTAATGACGAAACCGCCTTACAATGAACTTTTTGCAATCACAAAAGCAATCGCTTTCTGATGGTTTCAGTGGGTGAATTTCGCTTTGCGATGATCGGTTCCCGAAGCAGGGAACCGATTCTCGCAAAATGACGATTTTCGGCCAGCTGATCTGCAGTTTCAAAATGGCCGCCGGGTAAAAAAAATGGCTCCCCACTCTTTTCTGGGACGGATTCCTCACTGCACGGGCAGCAAAAATGGCCGTGCTATGGAGGATCTTCGCTGGACTGTGAGTTTCAAGCCCATAGGAACGCATTAATCGGGTTTTAATGCATTTCTATGGGCTTTTTTATTTCGCATTACGACATTTTTGTTCTACGGCGATTTCGCTGGAACGAATTAACATCATAATGCGAGTCACCACTGTACACAAGAGGTGATCCTGTTGAAAGCTGTGGGGCTCTTCACTTGTGCAAGAAGTTTGCAAATCTTCCCACACACTCCCCACAAAAGCAACAGGAAAAGAGGAACCACATAGAATGGAACATTCCGCACAACATTCAGAGCGAAAAGGATACTGGCTAATATAAGGAGGACAGCAGAACAATGGAGGGGGGTATAAATCAATAAGAATAAAATAGCAGCAGAAGAGCAATTTTCTTAATTCTACCATAAATTTGCAAATTGGTTCCTATATACCATCTTCTGGCAGCTGTCAATCCATTTAAAAATAATTAGTATGCAGTTCCTCTTTTATTAAAAAAAACCCCTCTGAAATACAAGAAGGATAGGATTTGAGGGTGATGTGCGGGATGCAGAATATAATGTCGACAGACATTTGCAAAGTTGCTGTCTATTAATTCCTATCCTTCTTTCTTTTTAGGGTGCACCATGTATGTCCTCCCATTCAGCATGGGGCCAATCGGTTCTCCCTTATCCAAATTTGGGATTGAGCTAACAGACTCTCCTTACGTGGTGGCAAGTATGAGGATCATGACTCGGATGGGAAGATCTGTCCTAGAAGCCCTTGGCAACGGTGAATTCGTAAAATGCCTCCATTCTGTTGGTTGCCCTTTGCCACTAAAACGTAAGCAATGCTTCACATCCAAATGATGGTCTTTATTGTTTTGTGATCTAGGATAATATTCTGGGTGGTTTATCTTACAGAGTTCTTGGGAATCTGTTTGAGTAAGAAAGGCACTGAAATGCAATGGACCAGAAATTAGTTGTCAAATATACCACTGAATGTGCTTTGAAGCACTCAGATGTTTCTTTTAGATCCCAACTGACTTGGGCAAAGTAAGGGCAGATCTGGCCCACGGAAATTCAGAGGGTTTTCCCTATCACAGATGCATCACAAATGTACAGTGGTGCCTCGCTTGACGAGGATAATTCGTTCCATTGAAATCGCTGTGGAGCGAAATCCTCATCAAGCAAAATGAAAAAGCCCATTGAAATGCATTGAAACAGGTTCAATGTGTTCCAATGGGCTAAATACCTCAGTGTCCAGCGAAGATCCTCCATAGGGCAGCAATTTTCGGTGCCTGTAAAGCGAGGAATTTTATCTGAACACACAGTGGGGAGCCATTTTGCACAGCGGACGGCCATTTTAGAGCCGCCAATCAGCTCTTTCAAAATCGTCATTTAGCGAAAAATCGGTTCCCAAAGCAGGGAACTGATCATCGCTAAGCAAATTTTTACCATTAAAACATCGTCAACTTCGTCGTCAAGCGGTTTTATCGTTTAACGAGGTAATCGTTAAGCAAGCCACCACTGTATCAGAAACTAGCTGTGCTTGGAGGACATTGACCCCTAGTGCTGCTGTTTGCTGTGACACTTAGTGACAGAAAACAAGCATTGAGGTTAAATTTTAATATACAAAATGAAAGTAAAAAGAAAATGCACATGGTCCAGTTTAGAAGTGATGTGTGTTGAAAAAGAAAATTGTTCTTTTTTCCCAGGTAGCCAGTAACAAAAAGTTATGCATTCTGCTTTGCATTTTATAGGGCCTCTGTTAAATAACTGGCCATGTAACCCAGATCTGACTCTGATTGCTCACATCCCTGAGCACAGAGAGATCATTTCTTTTGGAAGTGGTTATGGAGGAAATTCTCTTCTGGGAAAGAAGTGTTTTGCTCTCAGGATTGCCAGCAGGATTGCCAAGGAAGAGGGCTGGCTTGCTGAGCACATGCTGGTAGGAAACGTTTCAATGGATACATTATTAAAATCCCAGTCAGTTCAGCGCTCAGGGGATGGTGTCACTGCATTTTTATAGTGTCTTAAATGTTCAGCAGTATAGTTCCAAAAGTAACTTTTCCAAACTCTTTAAATCACAGTGCTATAAAATGGTTTATTGCATGAACTGCTGAATAGCTCAGTGGTTGATGTATCTGGCTGGAGGCAGAGGTTGGGAGTTTGATCCCCTCCTTGACGGGGGATCCACAGGATTCCTTCTATTATTATTAAGATTTTTTCATCTTAGGGCAAAGGAGAGTGGACACAGAAAAACATTAATGGCAAACAACAAGTGGCTGCCCCTCACTCCCATAATTGTGTTAGATAAATATATTTCTATGATGCCGTTACCAGAACTGGATACTAGAGGGAGCCAGAGACCATGCTAGGCATGGTGTTTGCTATAATCCACGTTTTTCAGCATCCGCGGGGGGCTTGGAATCAGTCCTCTGCGGATACGGAGGTTGTAGTGTATAGACCAGGAGAAATGAACAATGTGATATTGAGAAATTGAGTTGGTATGCAACACTTTCCCCACCTGAATCACGACCTGTCAACTCCAATTCTTTCCCTTCCCCCAAGTTCTTAATACATGTTTGAAAAATCAGGACAATATGAGGCCCCTTGACCAGCATTTGGGCAAAAGCTCATCCAATCTGTCTCTTCTTCGAAATGTTCAGGCTTGCAACTTGAAAAGGGATCCATAGCCATCCAAGATACAAGTGCCCTGCAAGCACAGAGGCTGGAATGCTTCTATTTCCCCTTTGAAAAGTAAAAATATTAAGTAGCACAGTAACCGTAGATCTCTTTACTTGTAAGTGCACTTTATGAAATGATAGGATATCCTGGAGCTTTAGGCAGAGTACAAGTAGAGTGTAGGAATACATCTCAGGCTAATTCTACACATGTGCATGTTTGGAATCTATTAATTTAGAGGTCCTTAAGGTTTGCTTGAGGTTTAAGAATGTGGTTGTTGTTGTTGTTTTTAACAGATCTTGGGTATTACAAATCCAGAAGGTGAAAAGAAATATTTTGCCGCAGCGTTCCCAAGTGCATGTGGAAAAACCAACCTGGCCATGATGAATCCAACTCTGCCAGGGTGGAAAGTTGAGTGTGTCGGGGATGATATTGCTTGGATGAAATTTGATGATGAAGGTAACCTCCTTAGCATTCACCTGGCAGTTTAAACAAAGAGAACTGTCTGAATGTCATGGTGGTGAGATCAAGCAATGAGTTTAGCCAGTCCTAAAGGTTTGATGCTGTCAAGTCAATCCTTTTCAGCATTTTCCAGGTAGAGAATACTCAAGAATAAACTAAAATGAAGGTGTCCCCCAGCATTGATAGGGGCTGCAAAATGAATAAGAGGGAAGACATGGAACAAGGAAGAGTGACTATGAAAGGGAGTGAGGAAGGGTCTCATTCAAAGCAGAGTGAGCATGTGTGCACATGCACAGAAGGAAGGGTTCACTTCTATGGGGGAGAACCCTTTAATCCATATATGATTCCCTGAGAGTTTACATATGATGTCTGAAACTCATGTTTCTTTTGCAACACCTTAGGTAACTTAAGAGCAATAAATCCAGAGAACGGCTTTTTTGGGGTTGCTCCTGGAACATCAGTGAAAACAAACCCCAATGCTATGAAGACAATAGAGAAGAACACAATCTTCACCAATGTTGGGGAAACCAGTGACGGAGACATATATTGGGATGGCATTGATAAACACCTTGCACCAGGAGTGACAGTCACGTCATGGAAAAACAAGGAATGGACTTCCAAGAATGGTATTAATAACTGCAGTGAAGGCCTACCATCCTATATTTCTTTATTTTCATTGCATTGTAGTTTGGTGGTATAATTTTACTATTGTATTTGTACAGGGGAACCATGTGCTCACCCCAATTCTCGATTCTGTACTCCTGCCAACCAGTGCCCCATTATTGATCCTGCCTGGGAGAATCCGGAAGGTGTGCCGATTGAGGGGATCATATTTGGAGGACGGAGACCTGAAGGTAAGACTCAGAAGAGATTCTCATCTATTAAGCAAAGCACTGCATTGTTTCAAATATTTGAAAGGTAGTCATACAGAGGAGGGGCAGGATCTGTTCTCGGTCATCCCAGAGTACAGGACACGCAACAATGGGCTTAAGTTAAAGGAAGCCAGATTTTGGTTGAATATCCGGAAAAACATCCTAACTGTTAGAGCAGTACGACATTGGAACCAGTTCCCTTGGGCGTTGGTGAGTTCTCCAACACTGGAGGCATTAAAGAAAAACTTAGATAATCACCTGACAGATATGCTCTGATTATATTCTTGCATTGAACAAGGGGCTGGACATTATGGTCTTGTAGGCCCCTTCCAACTTCACTTTTCTATGATTCTAGGATTCTAGATGGGCACGAATAGGAAAAATGCCAATTCATTTCCATTCATGATTTGTCAAGGTCGGCGAATTGCAAATAATGAATTTGCAATTTTTTCCTGACAAATCAGTGAATTGATTTGTTGATTTGTTTTGCCTTTAAAAACCCTATAACCCACCCCCAGTATCTAGAGGCACCAAAGTTTCAGCAAAGCTTCCCCTGACTCTACCCTACAATCCCTCTATGCTTGGTGAAGTTTGGGTTTCAGACTTCAGAGTTATACACCCACAAAATTTGCCCTCCCAGGAAAGTCCCCCCCCAAGCACCTAGAGATCCCAAAATCACAGAGAAGCTTCTGCTGCCTCTCCTCTACAAGCATTAGAGTAATTAGTTCCTCTAATTAGTTGTTTGCTGAAATTTGAGTTTTTGGATATCCAAGTTATATACCCACAAAGTGGGTTCACCCCCCAAGAAAAATGCCCTTTAGTAGCTGACTTAGAGGAACCCAGCCTTCACCTTAAAATTGTGAAATTTCAAGGACCTCATAACCTTTTCCTATTTTTTTCTGGACTATAAGGATGTAAAGGCTGTGGCTAATGTACTGTATGTCTCCTTTCCTGATGCCATGTACCTTACGATATCCTACGATTGGCTAGTCCCTTCAATGAATGGATTACACAGTCTGAATAGATTAGATAACCAGCCAGAGGGAAATTGATAACACTATAATCCCAGATTTACAAGTGCTGATTATATAGCTGCTGCAGCAGCAGTATTTTCAAAGCAGAACATTTAGTCCTATGCATAGACTGACTGCTCCTTAAATCCTGTTCTTGCCAGGTGTGCCTCTGGTCTATGAAGCTCTTAACTGGCAGCATGGAGTATTCATAGGTGCTACAATGAGATCAGAAGCAACAGCTGCAGCTGAACATAAAGGTATTTTAAGAATGAAATTCCGGCTGCAATCCTGTTGCACAGCTCCGTGTGCACAGCAGGAATATATCATCCACAGTGTCAAATCACTGCTGATTAAAGGCTTCATTTGGCAATTTCAGGCTGCGCACAACTCATACAGAATGCACTCAGAATTTGCCAAAGGAAGCCCTTAATCAGTGGCAGTTTGCCACTACTGATGACATCATTCCTATTGCACATGCAGAGCTGCACAACAGGATTTTAGCCACTGTCAAGCACATCTTGTTATTGTTACCTGGAAATTGGTGATAGTTGCTGGATTTACTTCCCCCCTTCTCATTTCCTTTTTATTATAAATATAGCTGCTGTGATTAACAAATAGTAAGTGAGCATTCAGAGGATGGACAAGATTTAAAATCCACTGAGGGCCAAACAAGGTAATGGAAGTAGCCCATAACTGGAGCCTGAAATTTGTTAAGGTTTCAGAAATGTAGTACGTGGTTTCAAGAAGAGTTTTGTGGTGGAACAATTAAGTCTGCATGCAAACAAAGCCCATGTTTACTTTCCTGTGACCGATTCCCACAAAAAGCATGCTACTTTCCAAACTGGGGAAGTAACTTTACAAATTGAAAAGGAAATGGGAAAAGTTTTGGAAGATACTTGCTGTGACAGTCAGTCATCCCTAGCACTTAAGAAATCCCTTCATCTAATGAAGTGCTCTCTGTAATTTGTTGTTTGGCCCTAAATCAGTGGCTGAGAGGGCCTTGATAGCATTGGCCAGCTACAGGCCAAATTTGGTCTTCCTCCACTTGTCTTTTCATAAGCTGCATGCCTATTTTATCCTTTTGGTGCAGATCAGGATCTTGGGGGAAGTTTCTGTGGTTCTAACTGGATTCACAGCATTCTGCCTTTGTATATGATGGGAGCTTTCTTTTCATTCCGTACAAGAAAGGAACAGCACCAACCATGGTGGAGGCAAAGAATCAAATTCCTCCCACCCCCATGTCTTCATACTAATCCAGCTTGGGGGAAGCATACCAGCTGTAGGAGATTAAAAGAAGAACCGCTATTCAGGATCCAGACTGTATGATATATGTTATACATGCTTTGGCCTTAGGAAAGATGCACAAGATATGTTTCCAGGAGGCTTGCCAGCTGTTTTTGGTCTTAGCAAGGAATTATTGATAAGTTTGTAAAGATCCAACGAGATGAGCCTGCATTTAGAAACAGAGATGTCTTAAGTTAAAAAAAAAGATGTCTATTTATCCCAATACAAACGTTTCTCACCTCCATGTTTTGCAACCTGTCTTGCTCTGTTTTGTGATTGGTTGCTAGGAGGTAAACATGTGCTTCATTTGAAAGTGTGACTGCTCAGGCACATGGCTCTGAGGAATGCAAGCATGTCATTTAGTGTGACCCTGGGAAACACCAGTGCATGTAAATAAATAAATAAATAAATAAATAAATAAATAAATAAATAAATACAGAAAACACTATTATAGCAAGGGTGACAGATGGAAACTATCCCTTTAAAGACTGTTTGCTTTTACCTTTAATGGCAGGAAGAGATAAAACAGCAACTTCATGATTAGAAGTGGGGCTTCCCTAATGCTGATTTTTCCTACCAAGAGGTTTTTGCAACTCTACAAGTTTCAAATTAGCTTGCTTTTGGTTAGGTTCTTCAGGAGATAAGCATAGGATCCATTTACAGTTTAAATATGTAAACATGAAATCTTTGAGCCAAGGACTATTGTGCCACCTTCTAATTGCAAAGCTAGCATGTTCTCTGTTTCTGTCTTAATCTTCCTTGCAAGTACAGGTACCATATTTTTCTGTGTTTAAGATGCCCCCAAGTATAAAACGCTCCCCCACTTTTCTAATCCAAAATTAAGAAATCTAAATGGTTTTCAATGCATTCCTATGGGAAATGCAGATTCAACATAAGAACATTTCAACTTGGGAACCACCTTCCAATACGGATTAAGTTCTTAAGTAGAGACCCCACTGCATAGCAAGGGTGACAGATGGAAACTGTCCCTTTAAGGGCCGTTTGCTTTTACCTTTAATGGCAGGAAGAGATAAAACAGCAACTTCATGATTAGAAGTGGGGCTTCCCTAATGCTGATTTTTCCTACCAAGAGGTTTTTGCAACTCTACAAGTTTCAAATTAGCTTGCTTTTGGCTAGGTTCTTCAGGAGATAAGCATAGGATCCATTTACAGTTTAAATATGTAAACATGAAATCTTTGAGCCAAGGACTATTGTGCCACCTTCTAATTGCAAAGCTAGCATGTTCTCTGTTTCTGTCTTAATCTTCCTTGCAAGTACAGGTACCATATTTTTCTGTGTTTAAGATGCCCCCAAGTATAAAACGCTCCCCCACTTTTCTAATCCAAAATTAAGAAATCTAGGTGGGGGTTTAGCAAGTGCAGGGGGAAAGGGATAAAAGCACTGCAGAATCGCTTTGATCCCTGCTTTCCCCTCCACTTGTTTTTGTTCTCTTCTCAGCTTACTTCCATGTATAAGACGACCCTCAATTTTTAGTCTAAAGATTTTAGACAAAAGTATAGTCTTATACACAGAAAAATACAGTAAACCCCAAAAGAAGGGCTCTTGAAGGTGGCATCAGTGTTGCTTGCATCTCTGGTGCTCTGAAGTCTATTGTTAAGAGGTGATCAGGTTGTGCCTGTTCAAGTGAAGAAATGTATGCCAGTTGATCACAGAAATGATGGTACTTGAAATATGGGTGAGTCACTTACATTATTTTCATGTTCTTTCTAAAGGCAAGGTTATCATGCATGACCCTTTTGCCATGAGACCTTTCTTCGGCTACAACTTTGGTCAGTATCTTTCCCACTGGCTCAGCATGGCACACCGACCGGGCGCAAAACTGCCAAAGATCTTCCATGTCAACTGGTTCCGGAAAGACAAGCAAGGGCGATTTCTGTGGCCTGGCTATGGGGAAAATTCCCGAGTTCTGGAATGGATGTTCAACCGAATCGGGGGTGAAGATGGTGCTCGGCTCACTGCCATTGGCTACGTCCCCAATGACACGGGGTTGAACTTGAAAGGCTTAGAGGGCATTGACCTGCAAGAACTGTGTGATGTTTCCAAAGATTTCTGGGAAAAGGAGGTAGAAGAAATCAAAAAGTATTTTGAAGAACAAGTGAACGCTGATCTCCCTTATGAGATTGAAAGAGAGCTTCTTGCACTGGAACAAAGAATAAAGCAACTATAAAAGGAGCTAGGGCAGGATATTTAGATGATTAGTCTAATGAAACAAACACTTTCTTTTCTGGGCATCTTATTTTGAGTGCCCAAAACACAAAGGCAAGCAGAGAGGTTAGGCCAGAACGATCACTTCTGAAAGCTAAGTGAAGAAGCTGTTTTAATGCTTATCAGGCATTACTTGATAAGTGACAGAAGCAGTGGTTATCAAATTTATCAGAGTTTTTTTTAATTAATTTGCTTCCACTGATAAGTACAGCACTCGTGACAAGAATGCTATCCTAGGACAGATGAAATTATCTTCTGTCATCCATCTAGGTTTTTCTTTTCTTTCTACCACAGGAATTGTCTTTTTGCATTCTTCCCTAATGATATCTCTGGTTTCAATCCACAGTTCTTCTGGTTCACAGTCAGTTACCTGAATTAGTAATACAAACATGTTACTTTTTGTGGACTTCAAATTCCTCAGAAATTTTGTTTAAATTATATTTTGGCACTAGGATTCTTTTAGTGGTCTTCTCACATTTACTCTAATGTTTGATGTTAACAGTTCATGATCAGTACCACAATCTACTCCTGGTCTTGTTTCAGCAGAGAGAATACAGCTTCTCCATCCCCTGCTTCCAATTACATAATCTGTTTGATGGCCATCTTTTAATGTCCATGTGTACAGTCATCTGTTCAGTTGCTTGAAGCATGTATTTGTGATAAAAAGATTGTTGGCTTCACAGAACTCTACAAATTGTTCTGCTGCTTCATTTCTGACTCCTAGGCCAAAATTTTCCCACAACATTTGGTTCTGCTTTGTTTTCTGCTTTTGCATTCTAGTCACCTATGATTATAAGCATGTCTTGTTTTGCTGTGTGATCAATTTCCACCTGGATGCTTGCATAAAATCTTTTAATTTTATCTTCTTCAGCATCTGTAGCTAGAGCATAGACTTGAATGATGGTTATGTTGACAATTTTTCCAGAAGTCTGACTGATATTATTCGGTCAGACATAGAATTAACTGCCTGTGGTAGATCTTGCCTCAATATTGAACCACTCCATTTCTCCTGAATTTTTAAATTCCCAGAGTAAAACACTTTGTAGTTGTCCGGCTGGAAATGTCCCAGCCCAGTCGACTTTGGTTCACTGACACCAAGCACTGGAATGTTTATATATTCTAGGAAATAATTAGACTTAGGGAGTTAGGGAGTAATTAGCTGTAAATATATTTTTGGAACTTTAAAAATACAGATGGAATGATTAGAGCTCCATTTTGCTGCAGTTACAATGTATTGGTATGCAAAGTGAGGTTTTCTGTGCTCCATATATTTTGTATATCTTGTTAGTCTGTGATATATGGGAACCTTATGTTAAACCTCAGAGTAATAAAATAAGTTTTTATACATGAGATTTGTCTGCCTAATATTCATACTTCTTATAATCCTAGGCATGGTTACCAAAACGTAATACCCTGTAGATTTAACAAGAATCTGAATACAATCCTGTGTTTATTCAGAAGTAATAAACTGTGTTCAATTTGATTTACTTCCTATTAAATGTGCACAGAATTTAATCGGGGATGTGTGTTCATAGAATGGCAGTCTTACTCCCTAAGAAGGTCCACATGTCACACTCTCCTCACTTCTTTAGATGAGTATCCAGGGCGAGCTGGACTACCATAGATTATGTTCTAAACATCACATTTCCTGCTGTATCTTCTCACAGCTGAGGCTCCTTCCCCACCCTTTGAATCAGAACTATGAATAGAAGTGGAAGGTGAAAATCCAATCACTGTAGAATGAAGGGATATGTTATCACTCACTACAGCTGTGCTGCCACAATGAGAAACTTTTATCCAAATATTTTTTAAAGGTTGCAACAAAATCTTAGTGGGTCTCTAACTATGGGTCTCTTATATTTTTTTTCCCAGCATGGAGGGGGAAAACACACTTTCTCCTGTAATTTCACATACAGTGGGGTCTTGACTTGAGAACTTAATTCGTATTGGAAGGCGGTTCTCAAGTCAAAAAGTTCTCAAGTCAAATCTGCATTTCCCATAGGAATGCATTGAAAACCATTTGATCCGTATCTGCTCTTTTCCATCCATAGAAACTAATGGGAAGCTGCTATTCCGCCTTCGACCACTAGAGGGGGGTATTTTGTTTCTTTTTTTCTTAGGTCAAGAAAGGTTCAGGGAAGGCAGGGAAAATACAGTCCAGGCAAGTACAGTACCAGGCAATCTGAAGACTGTCTCCCAATCCACTCTCTAAATGCTGGGAGGAGTGAGGAAGCAGACAGGCACCCTTTTCACTGGCCAACAGTTAACTGAAAGTTCAAATTTTGCACTTTCCCTGCTTTCCACGTGATTTTTTTCAGTTCTTAACTCAAATCTAAGTACTTAAGTCAAGTCAATATTTTCCTATGAGAGTGGTTCTTAAGTCAAAATGTTCTTAACTCAAGCCGTTCTTAAGTCAAGACCCCACTGTATTATGGCAGGATAAGGTGTGTGTCATTTCAATGATCAGATTGCAGTATGACTAACCTCCAATGTGTGATAGAACACGCATCTGTTTTTCCCCACTGGGATGTTCTAGGAGCAAGGACTTAACATTGTACGGTGGTCACTGGAAATGATGAAGTAGCCAGGTACCATGGCCACCTTGCTTAGTCAATGGATCCCCAGTACTACATAGCATAGTTGAGGAGTCTCTTGGCACAATGGTTACACTGCAGTAATGCAGCCAATACTCTGCTCATGGCCTGGGTTCAATCCCAGGTAGCCGGCTTGAGGTTCACTCAGCCTTCCAGACTTTCAAAGTTGGTAAGCTGAGTACCCAGCTTGCTGATGGGAGCAATGTGTAACCTGTATAATTAAATTGTAAACTACCCAGAGAGTACTTTAAGTGCTATGGGGCTGTACATAAGCAGCACACTTTGCTTTTTTTTAAAAGCAAAGTTAAAATGAAGTGCTCTGCTTCAGCAGTCCAGTTGTGTGTGTGTGTTTGTATGTGCAGAAAAAAGGGGTGGTTCCGTCTACTTTTCACTTTAACTCGACGCACAGATTGCCCATGGCTCTAATCCCTCCCCCCACTCCTCAAGGAGTGACTACAGTATAGTGAACAAGATGGACGAAATATCTGACCTGATATAAGGCAAATCCCCATGTGTTCTCACCAGACTCTCAATAGTTGTGTGCATTTGAATAGCCTCTGAATCAAACTAGCCAATATGTTTTTCAGAATTTTTTGCAGAGGTGTTCCTGCAAGTGATGAAAGACATCTGTTTTTCATAGCATTTTCCTCACCAATGCATCTTGCACTTAGCATGCACTGTTTTGTAATTTGTCACAGGAAGGGCTGAATTTGAGAGCCTGATTGGAGAGGTGTGTTGTGTTAGGGGAGGCAAAACAAGTTAATTGGAAGAATATGCATTCCTCTTAATGTCCAATTTGACCTTAAGAACAATAGATAAATAAAGTGTGCAAATGAGTACACGGGCATCATTTTCACATTGTCCTTTCAACTCTTCCAAAACTTCCAAACTTCCTGACTCTAACTGAAACAGTTACTTTTATGATCATTATCATGCATGCCATAACATGAAACACATTTCCTATAATAACTGTAGCATTCCCATTATGAAAAAGCCTTCCAATCCACCCCCAGGCTGGATATTACACGGCTTTTTATTCTGACTTGGAAAGGGCCTTCATTCTACAAAATCTGCAAATATTTGTTGAGCAAAAGAGAATAGTTCAGATTGCTGGATCAAACTCATTATAGTCTGCTCTTCTCTGCAAGAGCAAACAGAGATGGGTGCCAGTCAACAGATGGTCCTTGGAATATGCCAAGAGACGTCACCCACCTTGAACAGTATCTTCTAATGCCCTCCTGGTTTGCTATTGGGTCTCATTTTTTCCAAAGGCAAAAGACCAGAGCTAGGGGAAATGACTGGGCTGCAACTTCCAGTATCTCTCCCACTCATGCTGGCCACACTGGGGGATTTTGGGATCTGTAGTTTTCAAAAGTCACATTCCCAAGCTCTAAAGTAGATTAAATACCAACTAACTAGAACATTCTCCCTCCCCACCCCTTTTTTTTTGCACTCATTTCATCCAACATCCCTTTTTTTGTTTTTTACTGCCACTTAGCCTGATGAAGACCTCCGGAGAATCAAAAGCTTATACTGTACAATAGTGTAACGTTTTAGTTGGTCAAAGCTATTCCCCAATGACTTTTGCAAATGCTAATTTTCATTATTCTTTCCATACCTTCAAGCTGCAGCTCTTGTACTGTATATGATCGCTGCTGGTAAGCTTGCTATGCCTCCAGAGCCTTCGAAATAATATTCTCAAAATGAAGCCACAAAGCCCAGGAGCTTGCTGGAGGCCCTGAAGCTGGTGCCTGGTAAGGGAGGGAAGGAGACTGCCATGTATGTGATGTTGCTGTGACCAGGGCTATACCCCCAAATTTTGCTGCCTGATGCAAAGGACGGCACATCTCCCCTCCCCCCATTTCCATGAACAATAGCCAATCAAACTACCAGCTCAACCTCATTTCATTCCTAGTGATGAAAGGAGAGTATCCTATTCCTTCTGTTATGGAAATACAGTCATGCTCGGCTTAACAATTACCCCGTATAATGACAAATCCGCTTCACGGCAATGTATTTGCTATCGCAATTGCAATAGCAAAACAATGTTTTAATGGTTTTTTTCGCTTTGCGATGATTGGTTCCCTGCTTAGGGAACCAATTCTTCGCATTACAACAATCAAAACAGCTGATCGTCGGGTTTTCACAATGGCCGCCGGCTGCTGAAAATGGCTCCCCGCTGTTTTTAGGAGGCATTTTTTGCTTAACAGGCACCCGAAAATGGCCACCATATGGAGGATCTTCGCTGGTCGAGCAGGTATTCAGCCCGCTGGAACGCATTGAACAGTTTTCAATGCATTTCAATGGGCTTTTTTATTTCGCTTTATGACGTTTTCGCTCTACAGCAATTTCGTTGGAACGAATTAAAGTCGTCAAGCGAAGCACTACTGAAGGCAAAACGACCAGGAGAGAACCTGCTTCATAAATCCATGTCAATGTTTTCCTACTGTAGGCAAAATGACCAGGAGAGAGGCTGCTTCATAAATCCATGTCAATGTTTTCCCCACTTGCTTCCTTCGGGTGAAACTGTGCAATCCATATTTATAGATTTCCTGCAACTGTGAAGTTTTACTCCTGGACAAGGCTCTGCACTCAGCTTATGACAGCACTTAAGATTCTCATTGTGATGTTTGTAGCTGAGCTGAGAGTGCCTTATTTGCAAGCTAAGAGGTGAAGCTGGCTTGAAAATGAAGTAATTGTTACCTTTTGAACTGAATAACTTAGAAATGGCAATACATTTAAACTTGTGGGGGCTGGTGACTCTGATTTCAGGGGAGTGAGGAAATCCACGGTGGATTTTGTCAAGATCGGGGATGTGAGAGATGGTTCCGATACAAGTCAGTTTTCCAGGTTGACAGCAAAGAGACTCATAGAGACAGTAGGTTCCTTCACCGGCAGTGTATTTACAGACTATGTACAACAGAACTATGTACTGTACATCGGTCAGCAGACTCAATAATACACTTTCAGTAAATAAATGAACAGCACTTCGTGCAGCAACTCTCCAACACAATATTCCACACATCACCATAGTGTGTATGCCTTCTATAGTTTGAACAACCAATCACCGGGCACACCCT